TTTGAAATAGATTGATCCACACAAATTCAATACAGGAAAATCAGTTGTAGCAAAAAATTGACCATTAGTCATCTGATTCTATACTCATACGCAAAAGTATTTGCACCAGTTTTTTATCCACATTCATGGCTAAAAAGATTATTTCAGCTATGATATTTTAAATTGTTTTTCACTCAATAAGCAATATTTTGTATGTGAACCATTATTTGTTAAAGTCATATTAGAAACTCTTATATGTGTTTTATGACAATATTCTTCTGTGTATATTACTGTCGAGATTTGCTTTTGCGATTTCTTCAATTTACAATGAATACTATTTGTCGTAGTGATTTGGCCATATCAAATGCAGTGTTTTGAAATACTTTTTTCTCTACTTGTATTTAGTGCTTTGTCGTCCACAGCAATCGTAAACGATACTTTACGAGGTATTACAGCCATCCGAAATAATTAGCGTAAACAATCCTCGTTCACGGCTACTCTAAGAATACGGTGACTGTAAACAATGTTCCGGTAATATCATAAGGCACAATATAGGCCAAACGTAAAACGGTTAATAAACGTTCATCGTTTCCTATCGTATCTCGCCGTGAGCCGTTGTTGACGTTAAGGAATATCCTTTGGGATTTAGAAGAAGTATGTAGCAATGCCAATGCTGCTACTTTTGCATAATCGTTGGCTATCAGGACTTATGCTTTCACATTATTAGCTTCAGCTTTATTTAATGCCAACGTGTTTGAAATCATTTAGCTTTATTTTGGATACCACTAAATACACGCAGTCCAAGTTGCGGCAACATCACCTAGCATATTACTGGCACAGTCACAGGGAATATCTCGAGCATCTCAGGTAATGCCGCTAGAATTACAGACAATGCTACTAGCATCTCAGATAAAAGACTCCAGAAGATGCATATGCTTCATCGATTAGAGCCAGCAATAATTCTGACATGAAACCCGTTTTGTATATTTAAACTTCGTTTTAGTGCTATTAGAAAATACGTCAAAAACTGCGAATGGAATATTCACAACTGGACTGACCCCACCCTACATAGATAGACTTAGGGCAGCCCAAAAGTAGTGACCAAGCTTCTGTAATTCGTTATAAAAAGCTTTAAGAAACTTTTTCTCTATATAGTCTGATAGAGAAAAGAATGCTCTAGTTTTCTATGCTATTTGATCATTTTTCAACTAATATCATAATAATAAAATTTCGATAAGATGTGTTTCGTTATCATATGTACTGGTTGTATTAATACTCATTTAAAAAAATACTACTGAGTATTTTTTGAGTAACTTTTGCTAGAAACAAGATAGAGAACTGCAGTTTTCACCGTTTAAAAGAGGAGATGAAGACGCACCGAATTGTATATTCAGAAGTTTCTTGGTCTGTTTTTTGTAAGGTTTTCAATTGACCTTTTTAAGAGCAAACATATCTGGTAAGTTGTTTACAGTAAATTTTCAATTATCAAATGTAAATTCAAATCGTTAATCAAAGCTCTAGAAAGTGTGGAAGGTTGAGATGAACAATATGTATTCCAATCGAGCCTCTAATAAGATTTTCCACCAAAATCTATAAAAAAAGTTCACTTTTGTGCTTTTTCCTTTTTTCATAAAAAAAAAACATTTTTTCAACAGTTAGAAAATTGAAATATAAATACTTCAGAAATCAATATTAGGAAAACCTACAAAACACGATTCGTTGCATCTTCATCTCCTCTTTCCAACGGTGAAAACGCAGATCTTTATCTTGTTTCTATTAAAAGCTATTCAAAAAATGCTCACTACCATTCGTGGAAGCGTGACAGATGCGAACAAAACAGATCTTATCAAAACTTTATTATTATGATATTAGTTGAAATATGATCAAATAGCATAGAAAATAGAGCGTTCTTTTCTCTGTCAGACTATGTAGGGAGAAAGTTTCTTATAGCATTTTTATAAGGAATCACGGAAGCTCCACCACTATTTTTCGACTGCCCTAAGTATATTACTATTACTACATAGTTCAGTTTGTTTCGATCTCGACTGAGAATCGAGTAAATAGGTTTAAAAATCCGAAAAAAAACATTCAGTATCCAGAAACTCCTGTAGGCATTCTTTAAGCATCTTTGAATCAAAACAAGCTTGTATACCACGATAGAAACATCTACACCTCCGAACCTATATCCCTATAGGTAAAAAATTGTTACCTAGCAGTATAAATTCTTTATAAATCCATTTTTCTGAAATATTTTCTCAAGAAATCTTATACAGTTTCTCAGAACGGTCTTAGTGAAGTGCAAACATATGACATCCGGATATATGAGATTGATGCTCTTCAGGCCGCTCTATGCACATGTCGTCATAAAATGACATCGAACTGTCCTTTTTTTATAGAAAAGAAGACGTTTAAGAATATTTATTTTGAGGATTTTAGACAACGATCAACATGCATCAGAAACAATGGACTCTCTCAGGATGTGCACAAGAACAATAAATCATGCATTTAAATGGACACCAAAAAAACGGAACGTAAACGTCACAAGCCTCTGCATAAGTCAAATTCATTCAAGGCCCTTTTTTCAGTTGTATCGTCCCGTGTGTTCCTCTTAAGTATCAGAAGTGCATGATCTTTATTTCAAAGTCTTTAGAATCATTTCTCCCGAAATCTTCAAATCAACTCATTTCAGATCTAAAATCATTCTTTCTTATAGAAAAATGAATAATAAAGCCTTTTGGTAACCAAACGCTTTGATTTAGATGATTTCTACGCAGAAATCCGAGTTTTTTTGACAAAACTTCTTTAAAGGGTTTACAAAGCTTGTTTCTCGAAGTTTCATAAATAGGGTAGTTTCTTCATTCAAATGCAAAAAAGGAATATTTTCGAAGACGTTTTTTGAGAAACCTTAAAATTAGACGGTTTCCAATTCAATTGATTGGATTCTAAGAGAAAAAGATGTTGTAATGTGTTTTCGGATCGCTGGCGGTCGTGGCAATGATGGACCTCGGATATTTCTGGTTCTCTCGGAAGGTCGAATATGGCCTTTTTTCGGCGATATTACGACGGTAAACGTTGACGTGTAGTGCCGTGTACGCGAGAAATATGACCGTTTTATGGCACATACGCTAAGGTTAACTTTTGTTGTATTACGTAGTTTACAACACCGTGAGATACAGCTGTAATGCGGGACATATTAAAACGTCAATTTACAGCATTGTTAACGTCCATGTACAGTGGTATCTGGTCGCCATAATGTTTCATCTAGGAATACTTACCATTTGATTGTGCTTAACACATCGCGATTAATCTTCAAACGTGAAACCATTTTGATGACCTGGTTATATTCACTAGACGCAATAAAACGACAGATTAAACGATGCTGATATCGATACTCAATTACAACGAGTTGCACAATCACCCTCTGTTAGTTATCGACTCTCGATGCAGCGTCCCTAGTCAAAATCTAAAAAAAAAGTTTGTAGTCTGGAATAGTCATACCCACACCCGCCAACATACCACAGAACACGTTTACATCCAGACCTGCAATCGTATCCTTGAATATAAACAGAGGTAGTCGGCCTGTTTGAAGCATCTAGTCAAAAATGTAGACTTTCATGGAAAAAAATAGCTAAAATTCAGTGCTACGTGCCTTTCGAATCGGTCAGATTGTTATGATTAGTGAGTAGACAAAAGAGTAAAGGAATTCTATGCGGTTTTGCTTTTTAATATTATAATTTTTACATGCACTGTACTTCATCAAAGAAGATCTTACCGACAATGGACTCAAAGAAGTATAGTGGTTTCAGTGAGTTCATAGGTGGTCTCATTAGTATCATCTTACACATGCTCGTTCGCCTCTGTTTCTATTGATTGTGTCCCCATGTCGATTGACACATTTTTCTGTATTTTCGTTATTTTCATCGTAGCTTTCCCCTCTACGACCATTTATAGCTCAACACGACATGCAAATGGACCTTATTTTCTTTTAATTCTGAGAACAGGAATATGGCACGCTAAGCGACCGTATACGGATCTTATCATTGAACCTGAGTCATTCGAATCGAAATCAAAATGTTCTATGGGTTATAACAGAACATTACTAACTCTACCATCCAAGATAAACAGTATTGATTCATCTGATCATATATGGTGTCACAACAGGACATCGCTTGGTGTAGCCTCTTGCCAATATCATTGTTAGAATAGCCAGTGGTAAACGTAAAGCACACTTTATTTTAATATATAAATGAAATAAATGCAGCTTAAACGAGTTCTTTTTTCAAGTAATTTCTTCTATTTATTTAATTTTCGATCTTTTTGGATCATTATTCACAATAGATATATAAATTTAATATAAACATCAAAATAAACTTTATCATAAACCTAAGATGGATGTTAATCATTAGAGCACGAACATTTGTAACGTAGAACTAAAATAACACCCAAACTCTCAATTTGTATTTATTTCATTTATATATTTAAATAAAATAAGCCACATTGATTTATTTATTTAAAAGAAAACTTCATTCTTAATTATAAGAAAATAGAAAGAAGTATAGACACGCAAAGTAGGAAAAAAAAAGGCATTTCAATTTTATCGGCATTTTTTTCTTTTAGCATGTGTTGGAAAGGAGGTTGAATTTGATTAGCATATTGTTTGCAATGGTGTATAAGGACCCACTAGTATCAAAGCGCAACCCGGCGAAATTTCCATAGTAATAATAATAATTATAAGGATTTATTATTGATGCGTCAATGATAGTTGACACGTTCATAGCACCCGGTGTCAATCTTGTGATAGATGATCCACTAAAGTATAGTGAGCCAAGAGAATCACTTGCTATACCAATTGAATAATACGAATAATAGTAGTAACTGTCAGAAACTACTGTACTACCAACCGCATTGCCTGGCAGAAACTTTTGTATTCGGCTAAAAATTCAGATGATCGTTCAGAGATACATGAAAAGGGAAAATTTCAGGCATATAAGATTTCTTTTTTTTCAAACAGTTCGACAAACTTACCGGTTTGACGCATCTACGACGAAAAGAGTTTGGTTTTCATCGACATAAACTGATCGAGGATAAGATAGCTGATCTGCTTGATTCCCGGAGATACCGTTTGTTCCCGCGAGCAATGTAATTGAACCTGCTGTGATATTGTAGAGCAAAACTCGATGGTTCTGGGAATCCGAAATATAAAGTAAACCCTGTCGGTCAACATATATCCCACCGCATCCACAAAGTTGGTTTAATGCTGTTCCACACTTCCCTGCTCCTCCCAAAAGTGTTGTACCATATAGATTTCCTTGTGTATACTTCTGAAAACGTCCATAACTCATGGCACCATACTAAAACAAAAAACAGTAGTTATATCCGATTCTATATCTTCGGTAGAAAAATAAACATACCGCTTCTTCACAAGAATAGATTGTTCCAACACTATCGACGTAGATAGCAGTTGGTCGAAACGGTGATGTCTTAGCTACTGTTGTTGCAATCGGGCTACTTCCGTTGAATTTTTGAATTCGATAATTTCCGTTATCAGACACATAAATCGCATTGTTATTATCTATAAAAAGATCCATGGGATTTAAAAAGGTGCTCTCATTGCTTCCGGAGCTGCCGTTGATTCCACCGATAACAGAGTAGGTCGAATTCCACACCGCATTGTTGCAAAGCTGAATTGATGCACTAAGTGGAGAAATAGGTACAGGTGCACTATCTGTTGCTACACCAGTGGTCGGTGGTGCTGGTGTGACATAGGTTGCTAAAAACACATTTTCTTTTCTTTAAAGACTACTATACACCATAAAATGATGTAAAAAAAATCAGATAAACTTTAGAATATGCTGCAACCCGGCTTCAATTAGTGTACTGCGTGATTGATATTTTTGATCACGATCACGAAAAAAAATTCTAATCACGCACGATCACGATCACGCGTGATCGTAACCGTGACCGTGATCGTGATCGTGAATTTAGTGTAGTTAATATTGACAATGGAGACGATGAATAAATTATTTGATTATGCAATTTTCACACTTTTTTCTCAGTTTAGTTTCTAATATAATAGTATTTAATCGGTTCATGTCTTTTAACTTGCTTTTTGTTGTTACGAGTGCCTTATGTACATTAAATTTATGAAGAAATAGTTGAAATTTTGAGCCTATATATTACAGTCGTGATTCACGAATTTTAGTTTCGATCACGATCACGGTCACGATCACGCGTGATCGTGATCGTGATCGTGAAAAAAGTGATCACGCAGTACACTAGGCATGTTGAATAGTGTTCCTTATTGTCTATAATAGCAACGTTTGACTTTCATAATTCATGTCGTACGTCTATTCCCACTAGAGTCAATATACCGGCAGTAGATTATCGTTCAGAGAACAACTTTCAGTATAAGAAGATACAATGACGGCTAGAGGATAACTAGCATTTTAAGTATCAAACGATTGCTGGTTAACTGCTGCTATAGCGTACATTATACCGAACGATTTGCCGACGGATTTTGTCCGTTCTGATTCGCATGAGAAGCGTATTGAGAAATGATGTGCTCACCTAGATATAATTTTTAGTTAGCTTCAAACTGTAAGGTTGCCTAGTTGTACAACGAATATCACAACTGACATAATCGATAGAGCTACGTTTTTCTTTTACCTGGATCCTGTTCTCAATACTTTTTGTCTAATTACTCCATGAGAGTATAAGAAAGCATCTGAGATTATTTCTATAATTTATTCAAATACGAAAGCCCACTTTATGATCAAGTACATTTGGCAATGGAAATAAAGTACTATAGAGATTTTCGACAGTTTTGCCTCATTACTTCGATTATACTGACACTCAGATGCGTGGCACATTTCAGTACTGGCTAAATAATTGATGTACGAATCTTACATGGATTCCTCTAGAACCAGTTAGAGTGTTACTCACGTGGGTTGATTGAACCACTTGAATTGGACGCGACACAAGCGCTTGCCAAAGCTCTGGGCATGCAAATAGGTTGAGAACAGCAGCTATTGAGGATGCAAATGGATGCGTTGGTTGTACATCGAACTCCACTAATACATAGATCAAACAGAGAGCATGGGACTTGTGGGGCACAAAGTGTTTCGTTTGCACTCTGAAAACTGAAGCAAGGTGTCAAGCCTGTACAGCTACCGCCACCTCCATTATTGGACGTTCCGCAGACAGGAACTGAACAAGTGGACGAGAATTTGACTGATGATTGACCTAATAATTCAAAATATATGCATGTATGGAAGCATAACCTTTTCTCACCAACCTATAATATGGGGGACGCAAAGAGCACTGATTATCACAAGAATCGAATGGAGCATAACTGTGTGACTGAATCTATTTCTTCAATCGAATGATTTAGAACGTGAAAATGCATCAGTTTTATACTTTCATCGCGTTTGTTTGGTATCGACAACAAATCGCCGTAACTAATACAAGTAAGCTTATGAAAGCAAAAACAAGAAATGAGTAAGCAAAATTTAACAATACTTATAGAAGTATTTTTCTTTCTATCGAAAATTTATTCTATACTGCATTGACAAGGAATCAGACTCTTCTCCACTACAGAGTAACGTGCTCATTTTAAATTTGAAGCTCTTTCATGACTTGTACATTTCACTTGAGTAAAAATAACTTTCGGACATGTTTTTCTTCACTTGCCACGCTCTCGAAAGTTGTTCTTCATTTTTCTCGGAGTTTTCGAGGGGAGTTCTAGCTTTATTTTTATTGTAGTCTGCTGTACAGGTAGTCATTAAAATTCATTGCCTCTTATGGCAAATGGATTGTTTTTCTTTCCTCAAAAAGTGAATACTTTGTGAGAATCGTTTATTTTCATTTATAGTGGAACAAACACACTACCACCAAAACTTCACACTCACAATAACACCCAGATCTAAACCCAGAACCATAATGTACTTACACCTACGTCTACAGTCACACTTCATATCCACGCCCACACCTGTACCGTATGTACGCCCACATCCACACCCACCCGCTACGATAGCTGGGCCATGGAAATCAAATACTTGAGTACCACTGGAGTACTTGAAGGATAAACCAATGGAAAACACTGGAGCATCTGCTTTACAATCATAGAAGAGGCTCAAGTATTCATGTCCAATAATAAAATATAATGCCTTCGCTCTTTCTACATATATTGTTTTCGACCATGTTCCTACGTCAAGAATCTCCATAATTCGCTAAACTCTTACTTTGACAGAGAAATAACCATGTTACAATCATCAATTTGGTATTTATTGCACATGATGTCCTAGCAAGGGGCAACACTTTTCACATCTAGTGCAAGAGAATGTCAACACTATACAGATGAAAAAAAAATGGAAGCACACTTTTCAGGATGACAAAAGTATAATTACACACTAGTTATGCTAACTCGTGAAAGGGGCTATGTTTTTGTCTATTATTTCGAAATATTAATATGAAGTTGAAGAAACTGCCTTTAACAAAATGGCATATATACCCTAGGGAAAAAATAGTTATAGTCAGTTTGTTAAATATATTGTTACCATTAAAATCTATTTTTAAGAAAATAATAATAATGGGTGACCCATAATGAATGGCGGCATTTTATATCTTATTTTTTCATCACCTGATACGTTTTATTAAAAAACGAAATAAACCACAAGATGCAGCGTGAAAAGCTTTGTAGTTCACATAAGATCGATTATTTTAGAGTTGCACTTTTTGTTTACAAAATGGGCAAAATTTTGAGCGACCAAATTTCGACAGTGCGAAAAAGTTAATTATTTTTGATACTGAACGAATTCATTTTGTTTTTCATGTTTTCATTCCCTGATATGGTTTTCTGAAAATGAAAATAACATATAGCAGAAGATTCAGCTTGAAAAACTCTATAATATACAAAGTAAAACGTATTTTGATTGTATACTTTTTCTTTTCAAAAGACGCAAAATTCTGTGCGACCAATTTTCATTATTGCGAAAAATCATTTTTTTTACACGAACGAACGAGAGTTGTTTTTCTCTTCTTTCATCGTTTTATCGCCTAATATGCTTGCATAAAAAAAATACTACAAGATGCAGTGTGAAAAACTCTACAATCCACAAAGAACAGCTTATCTTATTTGTGCATCTTTTTTCCAAAATAAGCGCAATTCTGTGCGACCAATTTTCTCACGCTGCATCTTGTGGTCTATTTCGTTTTTTTAATAAAACGTATTAGATGATTTAAAAACAAGATACAAAACGTGGTCATTCATTATGGGACACCCGTTATATTGGGAAAGCACTCGGAATTTTCTATCATCCTTTGTAGTTTATCTGTTGTCATACCTTTATTTGTTGACAAAAAAATTGAGTACATAGAATGTATTCTCAATAAACAAGCATCAAAAATCTCCGTTTTGTGGAACTCACATATATTTTCGAGAAAAATAATGAGTGTAAGTTTTAAGTTCAAGTTTTCCGGCTCTCGACCCCTCCCCATTACAGACAACTTCCTATTAGAGACTTTAGCAGCTGGTTTTAAATTTCATCCACTGTTCTAGCTTATTGAAAAATATGCGAGTTTCACATTTCAGCCCCAAACGAGTTGCACTAACAAGCTTTTTTCACTACCTTTTTTTAGTTTTTTTAAAGGTTATTATTCTTACAAAAATAAATTTTTACACAAAACTATACGTTCTGACAACATTTGAAATTCTCGATCATTCTGTATGCTTCTGCTCTGTCTTGATTTCATGTCCTAAAGAGTAATTCTAATATTATATGAATACTTCTTGATAGATTCCCAAAAATATTTTTTTTTTCTAGCTTGTCTATTCGCTTTCTTTTTAAATTGTGTGTCTGCTGAACATTCTAGTCTTTTCTACTTTATTCTTGTTCTGTCGAGAACACATTTTACTCGACTACGTCCACTTTTACAAATAATGTTATTAGCGCGTATGTGAATCATATGATCATTGCTTTTCTTGAATTCAATACAATTTAAACATCCACAATGAGTAGTTATTTAACTGTCGATGGTCGATAACGAATTATTTAATTGCTTAGAGAACAATATGAGTTTAAAAAGAATAGCTCGTGTTAGTAGGTGTGCGATTCCGATTATATCCTGAAACTAATGATATTTTTGAACGAAAAAGACGTGATCATTGTAATGCATTAAATAATAGCCAGATATATGCGCTAAGGCAATTATTATAAAAATATCCAAATATGATCTCTAGCAATATTAATAATTGTCTTTTTCAGCGAACTGTCTGTTATGTCACTTATCGAACTATTGGAAATTGCCGACTATGCTTAGGATTTCGTCTAATTCGTGCGAGAACTCAACCTATGATAAATAGCAAATAAAATCAGGCAGGAGGCAAATATATATAATGACAGAGAGTTTCAAACATTGTCAGAACGTATAATTTTTATGTGAAAATTTATTCCTAGCAAAATAATAATTTTCAAAATAATTAAAAAAGCAGTGAAAGATGGAGGTTTTCGATGCTTGAATATTGCTCGTACATTCAATTTACTCAATTTTTTTATCAACAAATAAAGACAAGAAAACAGATAAATAAGTA